ACAGCCTTGTCTAAGAAACTATTACCCACATAGGTGTTTCTCTCTAGAATACCTAAAATTCAGAGGCAACCTCATTATCGATAAAATATCTAGAATACCTGGGCATATTTGAAAACAGGGTTAGAGAGAGCCTACTGTGCCATCAATATGAACACCTCATGAATCCACAACTAGGGATATAAGTTCATCACCTTTCTGGTATTTCTCTCTACATCATTTACAAATGGGATTTGGACTAGAATTAACACTTGTGGATCGCCTACTGTGTACAATGCATTATACTAGCTACTGCATATATCTCTCATGTAATCCTAATTGCCCTTTGAGATACTTCCATTATCACTGCCTATTCACAAATTAAGGAAACAAGGTTTCAGAATGTTAACTAACTTGGGGCTGGCAGGTGGCATGGTGGTTAAGGGCACTGGACTCCCACAAGGCCAACCATAGTTCAAGTCCCAGACCTGACGACTTGCTTTTCTACTTTCTTTCTCTCTCTCTCTGTCTCTCTCTCTCTCATTCTGTCCCTCATTGGTCAAATTAAAATAAATAAATAAAGTTACATAAAATGATTCGAGGGGAAAAAAATGTTAAGTAACTTGTCCAAAGTTTTAAATCTAATACGTGACAGAGCCAAAAGTTGAACCCAAGTTAGTACAAACATCTTTATGACTTGCTTCCTTCTACACTACTTGCTTCCAAAGGAAGTTATAATGACAATACAAAGAAAATACTTCTAATTTGTGTGTGTGTGTGTGTGTGTGTGTGTGTGCGCGCAAGAGGCTCGTGCACTCATTGGACAGAAAAAGACAGAGAAAGTAAGAAATCCACCCTGCCAAGGGGATGGCCCTGCTGCATCCCTTCTCTACGGATTTTGGGCACACACACCTAGAGTATTTTTCAAGTCACTGGGTCTGGGACTCAAATCATGCAGTTGGCCATGTGGAATCTAGACACCTTAACTTCCAATCACCTGCTGGCCTTTAATTCATTTTTTGGTGAGAAAATCAACAGCTTTATGACACAGCTCTAATCAACATCCTCAACCAACTTACTGTATTAAACCAACACCAATTTTCATACATCCCAATCTAACAGTCTATATCAAATCTCTCTCTTTACTAGTTAGAATTTGTATAGTCAGATGAAGAACAGAAAATGTTTTGCTCAACCTCTATAGCATTTTCTTTTTTTTAAGGTTTTTGCCATCGGAGCTTTTCTACTTTCTTTCTCTCTCTCTCTGTCTCTCTCTCTCTCATTCTGTCCCTCATTGGTCAAATTAAAATAAATAAATAAAGTTACATAAAATGATTCGAGGGGAAAAAAATGTTAAGTAACTTGTCCAAAGTTTTAAATCTAATACGTGACAGAGCCAAAAGTTGAACCCAAGTTAGTACAAACATCTTTATGACTTGCTTCCTTCTACACTACTTGCTTCCAAAGGAAGTTATAATGACAATACAAAGAAAATACTTCTAATTTGTGTGTGTGTGTGTGTGTGTGTGTGTGTGCGCGCAAGAGGCTCGTGCACTCATTGGACAGAAAAAGACAGAGAAAGTAAGAAATCCACCCTGCCAAGGGGATGGCCCTGCTGCATCCCTTCTCTACGGATTTTGGGCACACACACCTAGAGTATTTTTCAAGTCACTGGGTCTGGGACTCAAATCATGCAGTTGGCCATGTGGAATCTAGACACCTTAACTTCCAATCACCTGCTGGCCTTTAATTCATTTTTTGGTGAGAAAATCAACAGCTTTATGACACAGCTCTAATCAACATCCTCAACCAACTTACTGTATTAAACCAACACCAATTTTCATACATCCCAATCTAACAGTCTATATCAAATCTCTCTCTTTACTAGTTAGAATTTGTATAGTCAGATGAAGAACAGAAAATGTTTTGCTCAACCTCTATAGCATTTTCTTTTTTTTAAGGTTTTTGCCATCGGACACGTGCTCTTGCTTAAGAGAGACAGAGACAGACAGAGAGCAGGAAAGTGAGAAATCACCCCCCGGGAGGATAGTCACACTGCATCCTTTTTACTCCATTTTCTCAACAGAACTTTGGGCACGCACACACAGGCACCTGGCATAATTTTCAAGCCACCAGGTCTGGGACTCGAACTGTGGTTGGCCATGTGGGAGTCCAGTACCTTAACCATTATGCTACCTGTTGGCCCCTAGCATTTTCAAATATCTGGAATATATAACTTCATATTTCTTTTCTTTTTTTTTTTTTTTTTTTTTTTAGGGGTTTTTTTTTTAGGGCCCGTCTCCTCCCGTGCGCTCACCAGAAAGACAGACAGAGAAACAGAAAGCAAGAAATCACCCCCTCAGGGCGGATGGCCACGCTGCAATCCCTTCTCCTCCATTCTTCTCTCGAGATCTTGGGCAGGGATGCACACGTGCCCGGCATGAGTTTAAGCCACCAGGTTTGGGACTCAAAGTTTCCATGTCCGTGGTCAACTACATGGGAGTCCAGGGACAAAGCCATTATGCCAACTGCTGGTCCCTAACTTCACATTTCAAAATCTATGAATAATAATCTTTCTACAAATTTTCCCAGACAGATTTATGTTAGTCTACCTCAAAGTAATGAACTTTTGAGCTTTACTACAAAATAAAGAATTCCAAAGCATGTAGGCTTCCACACTGTAAAAGTGGATTAAAGACTAAAGAATAAAACATTCTCTAAATTGGAAACCAGCAGGTGGCGTGGTGGTCAAGGTGCTGGACACTCTCACATGGCTGACCATGGTTCAAGTCCTGGGCCTAGTAGCTTGCTTTCTCACTTTCACTCTCTCTCTCTGTGTCTCTCTCTGGTCAAATTAAAATAAATTAATGAAGGGAACCAGCAGTTAGCGTAATGGCTATGTCGCTGGACTCCCACATAGTCGACCGCGGTTCGTGTCCCGGACCCGGTGGCTTAAAACTCACGC